AGCTGGTGTCATTATGGAGTAAACTCTCATTTAAAATAAACATGTTACTCACCACATTTTCATCTTACTCTATAGGAATCTGCAAAGAATTTTCACTGGAGTTAAGACGTTTTCCCAGCTATCACTTGCAGGTAGAGATGAATTCGTAGTATGCGTACCTGTTTCCATTCTAAGGACACTGTCGACCATTGATGTTTGGTGAATAAATTCCCTATCTTAAGAAATATATGCATACATTTGCATGCTTATTTTTGTGAGTGACATCTGTTTTACATAAGAAAGGCGGTGCAGAAGTCGGTCTTAACACGTATACAGCATGTGTGTGAACACACTTGCATAGATTTAACCTGCCATCAAACAATGTTTTCTTGTGCACATGCTTGTCATTTAATTCCTTATGCATCCCAGACAAGGAAGGTCTAAGGCCCTTGACATGTGACAATGGAAGAGCAAAAGACAGACGGTAACGATTACAGGACACACCAAACACCCCAGTTTCATGAAGAATTACTCAAGCGCTTTGGTATCACTTTTATAATACGGCTGTGGCGGACAATTGCCTCTTCCTACCCATATCACAGCCATTCTGGTCCTTTTCTTCCCGGCTAATATCACCTTGGATCTCCAAAATATCCTGTGGTCTTAGAGAGGATAGGATCAGTTCTCTAATTCAGTCATAGACAATAATTCAGGACTAATGTAACATAGTCCATTTTCCTCTGGGTGGTAATTGTCTTGAAGATGCACAGACATATGACGCAGTTGTAGCCAGTGAGATGTTTGTGGATGTCAGCTCAATCAGGGGGCGAGACATCTCTACGTGAACAAAGACTGAAGTCAGCAGAGAGAAAACTTCTCCTTCCTGAACCTGCTGTGGGTGCAGCGACCATTTGACGCCCAAAGGGAAAAAGCCAAAGAAATGAACCAACATCCTGCTCCCGACCTTCATTATCTGATAAAAATGAAACATCAGTAATATTTGTTTGAACTACTGTACTTAGGTTTCCTGATGCACGCAGTGAAAGACATTTCTAACAGATGCTACAGTATAACGATAGTCTTCCTGAGAGAACTATGTTTGGAGCAAGGAAAAATAGTCTGGAAAACTTCTAGTCTATTTCTCATTTCAGTGGAGTACACTGGGTCTCTATTGCATTAACACTGCCTGGTGGGATCAGGAGGATAAAAACTGAGATTTTTATGATCTCCTATTTGGAATGAATACTTTTAAATAACCCACTTTCAAATATCATACTAAGAACCTACTATACAATTGATATGGACCAACTGTGCCATTTGGGTATTATGAAGCAAATGCATGTTTTTTTTTTTTTTCTTTAAACAAAACATACGTATGAGAATACCCTGTCACTTCCTACCTGAGAAGCTTACTTGTCCGTCCAGAACACTAATCTGTAACAAAGCTGTGTGGTAAAAGATAACATTATTTGAATCCACAATCAGCCTATAATTAACTAGAGATGACAATTATAAATAACACTGTGTCCCAGAGTTTCCAAGAAACCTGACACACACAGTTCTTGGGTATGTTGAATCACTTCCAAGAAAAGTAAGGAAATTAAAAAAAAAAATCTTTTAGAAGTCTTCAATTAAAATGTGTTTCAGTAAAAATGACTTTCATGATGTGTTTTGATACAAATCACTGGAAAAACATTTGTCCCTGTCTTCACACCTCTAATTGTTTTCACTGTCCAATTACAGCTTTTCAGAATTAAGACCTTCTCGCTGGGACAACCAGGTTGGCTGTTTGCGATGTGAAGAAAAGTTAACGTGTGTCCCCAAGAAGCTGGACTGCTACTGTGAGATTCCGATTACGAGAGGCTCAGGTCGTCACATCTCTCATCTTTCAGAGTTACACAAAGCACCAGGCTGAATTTCTCTCCTTTCCCTCTCTCTTAGCTTCCCCTTCCATCTTTCTTTCTGCTTTTCTACCCAATTCCTTACATTTCACATACTTTCTGGGTTTAGGGGGTTAGGGGGTCCTATTTTTGATAGAAAAATTACCTTTTTTAGGGATTCAAATGATATGAGAGGGTGATAGTGTAAAATACAACGGGAATTTATCATGTGTTGTTTATGGCTTTCATTAAGAATTACGGAGCAAAATTTCAAACCCTTCATTGATCTACATATGTACGGGCCATGACTACAGCCGAATGATTAGAAAATGCTAATGAGAAAGTAGATATTAGAAAAATACCAACACAATCTGCATAGTGATGTTGGTTCACGTGGAAGGGTAAGTACTCACAAAATTCTTTGTGAACTCATATATTTAATTGGTCTGCTATGCTAAGCAATATGGGACTTTATTCAATTCCAATAGGTGGGTTCTCACATATAAATATCCTATACCATCAGCTCTATAAAAGCAGAGCCCATGTGTTCTGGTTATATTTCCTATACACAGCACAGACCCAAATACTTAGTAGTTGCTAATGTAGAATAATTACTAATTAAAAGACCCATGACATTATTATCTCATTCTCATGCATTGCACAGAGATCGATCGTTAATATTGTGGAAATGACACCCCAGCCAGTTCAACAGGAAAAGTCACCCACATACCACAGAAACACCTGCTTCCAAAAGCTCCCTTTCATGCTCAGGTGTCAGAGTTGGGATAAGGGTTGAGATAATTCAGATCCTTTGGCTGAAGTCATTTACTTATACAAGAGTTTGTTATACTATCACACTAACAGAACTGCTCCATTTTCCTAATTGAATGTTTTCACTTACAACCCATACAAGCACAAGACTACAGTTCAAGATGTACTCAGCTGACCACATGACAGTGCACAGTGAAGAGATTTGACAAGGATAACCTTTTTGAGGTTTTGAGACCCATCAGCAGGTCTGGCAGGCATCATTCCAAAACTATATGCTTTTTAAAAAGTTGTTGTAACTCTACAAAAGAGAAAGGAAATTTGAGGCAGCGGCTTGCAACAGAGGCCACTCTCACTTCTACAGCCCGAATAGGAGGTGCTGATCAGAGAAATGAAATAAAGTATAATTGTGGAGGTGGAACAAGAAAGGGAAATAAGGTCCCCTAACAATGGGCGAGTGTGGAAGAGAGCGAATGCAGATGGTTCCACTCTTGTTACTTAATCAAAAGGCTGTGCAGAGTCACTGGAGCCAGCCTAAAGTCATGTGTTAGAACAACAGCTGATCTGTATTAGAGAAGATTAACTCACAGTGCCATGGCGGAGGGCTCAGGATTATTTTATGTACTTCCATTGCCTTACAAGCCGTCAGTACAATTATTGCCCTCCGATGTGAATGACTGATCTGTAACCACAGCTAAACAGCACGCTGCTTAGGGGCCTGGGAGCTTCATGAAGATGAATTTCCATACCATCAAAGTGCTTTTAATGGGCTCCCTGATCCAACCACAAGGCCTGTTTTGCAAGTATATAGAACTCAGGATGAAGGCTTCCTGTCCAAAAGGATTTGGTCGGTTGTCACTTGACAATTCCCAGCCAGCACTGGGGAAGAGAGAGGGGGGAGATAGGTAGAGTTGTCTCTGCTTTGGAGGATTAAAAAAAAAAAAAGGGTACAGATGCTTGCTGAATGCAACCAACTGCTGTATCCACAGCTGAATTCAATGCGCTTAACAAATAACGGCAATTTAGCTATGCTTGCGAGGAATAGCTTGAGTCACTTTGCATTAGCATCTGGCTGAGTGTTAAACTCATTTCTACATGGGGAGCAGAGAAAAGGAATTTCTGTTCAAGCATCCTTTCAAGAATGTTTAAATATTTGAATAAAAATTGCTTTATGCTTCCTATCATTCCTCCTTAGAGCTGTCACTCTGCTTTTCCCTTTACCTTTTGGTGCCTGGCTCTAAAAATGTTGTGTCCTCACCGTACCAAGGTCAAGTCTTATGTTGCAAGACTGCAAGAGATGTCTGTCGACCGATGTGCTGCCCTCCCCTCTGGACATAGAACAGAACTGAAATAGTTTCTCCAACCTCAATTTTTACCCACATTAGGACCAGAGGGAAAAGCATTTGCCAGAGGATCACCTGTACACTTCCCTTTCACGACGCAGATCACCAGCTTCCGAGCAATCACATATCAAACTCCATCTAAAACCCGGGAACCAGAAAGCTCTCCAAATTAGCAATCTGCTCACTTTGGACAGTCGTTTGACTCATCAGCGTCCTGGGATGATTACCGTGCAAGTTATCCCTGAGTAGCGGGTCATGTTTTCTCTCATCTACTGTATAGTTATTTATCTATAGCAGTGTGCAAAGGGGACTTGGTAACACTTGACAATTTCAGTTCAAAACATATCAGATGTTACCAAAGGAAGCGCCTCAGTCGGAGCATTCTAAAATAACTTACAATATTTTTCTTCATTAAATGCAACATATGCTTACAAAAAAGAGCTTGAAATTGTAGAATCACAAATTCAGAAGTTTCATTTCGGTATTAGGATACTGTCACCGTTTTAAAAGGCACATTCTGTTTTATGATAAAAGTCAAAATTGTCCATTGTGCGGTCACCTAGCACTTGACAGTACTCGGCACGGGAAACATATTATGACAAGCTCAGGATCCTAAGTACTTAGAATATGAGCATGGGTATCATCCAAGCTTATGCTGATTAAAGAAGATTCAGCATTTTCAAATCCAGCTCATCCCCAAATACAAGTTAAGCATCTCTATAAAGCAAAACTTTTACTCAGACGCAGATATTTCAAATGCCATTTCATTTTCATACAGCTGTTGGCATAAGAGGGGATATTCACTGTCAATAAGGTTTGAAGATGGATAAGGAGAATTATAACTCTGCCCATTTCCAGATGGTTTCGATTAGGATGGGCGTGGGGACCTCTGCGTTGAGGGAGGGGGGAAAAAGAAAGGAAAAAAAAATCATCATTCTGAGGTTAGTAAGAAGATGGAAAGATAAAAAGGAAAAGCACTCAGGAAATGTAAGTAGGCGTTTCTGAAAAGTAAGTTCTTTTATGAACTGACCTTTTCTGTCCGGCAGTTATTGAGACCTAGACTATTCACAACAGCCACCTTCCCATCAAGCACCTGCTGTTCCCGCCGAAGCTGTTCCTTCATCTGCCGAGCTTCTTGGATCGCCTTGGTGACAGCATCATGGTCATTTAAATAACCTGAAAAGGAGACATATCACGGGATATGTTTTGCACCAATGCCTAGATGGGCTAACCTTTAACCCTCAAAGTCACCTTTTCAGGGGGTAATGGCTAGCAATAGGCACATAACAATTTATCTGTGGAATTTGTCTAAAAAGAAATGAGTAAATAAATGATTGATGGTGGCTGTTTCACATCATCATACATGAACATGTTTCCAAACATCTGGACCAAAACATACTCTTTGGGCGAAGCTGGGTTGTTTCCAAATATTTGGAAAGACGTTTAAAAGCTAATTTCAAATAAAGGTTTTAGTTAAGTTATTAATCTGAATAGTTTGTAGTATTGTAGATAAGTAAAGATCTTAGTTATGAATCAGAATACTCTGCAAAAGTAAAGCTATATTTATTTATTTATTTTTTTCATGCAAGGAACACCTGAATGTTACCATAGGATATAGGTACTAATAATTACCACTATGGTTATTGACTCCTTCGTAGGATTAGAAAAGTCAACATTGAGTCTGTCACATACAGAAGTAGATCATTATAAACTGACTGAAAGAAGAACATCCCCCCCCCCAATCTGTTTGTGGTGAAATAAACCACAGGTGGCAGTGGTTTGCCACGGATACACACATGTAATAGTCAGGGGCGATGTATGAAGCACAGGCTGTAACCAGGCACCTGTAATTGTCTGATAAAAAATTGTGGCTACTCTTAACTATAGTCGCACTTAATTCACACTCTTAATAAGATGGTCAAATAACCAGTTTGTGTCTGCTGCTCGATAATCTGCGGTTGGTAAAAAGACCCTAGCAAAATATATTTTTTAAGAATAATTGGTGTAAGGAGGAAACAATTTTTACCTTACATTTCACACCGGTCATTTATTTATTTGACTGCACTTTCGCATGACGATCAGGGAGGAAGACTGATGGAAACGACTGGCTCGCAAATATTGAAAGAAAAGCTAATATCTCCTCTTTCTCTCTCCCTCTCTTTTAACTAGGGCATAAAATGGCATAAAATGAATCTGTAATATGAAATTGCCCAGAAAAGGGACTTGTTTGTGACATGAGGCTAAATCTAACCAGATCCATTGGTGAATTGTGACAGATGGAGGGACTGTGAGACAGAAGGCAGGCACTAATCACACATAAAATGACCGGCTTGCCTCAACATGTTCCATGGATTCCAGCAAACTTTACACCCTAATCCATTTTTAGAACAAAAAACATCTGGGCCATAAATCCTCTAATCTGCCAAAACACGCTATTAAATCCCATGATTTGTTGAAAAACACTAAGATTAAAGAAAGGAAATATAAAATGGCTAACTGCCGTGTTAGGAAAGTGTTATTAATACTCTTTCTTTGTCTCAATTATGAATGTTCTGGTACTAAAGAGCCTTGTCTAATCATGTCAGATTACACATCCTCTTTGTATTGCGAGACTCTTCTATCTGATCTGCTGATTGCCAAAAAACATAGAATATTTTCTTGCTGCTTAAACATTTCTATTGAAGAAACTGATGTCAGATTAGTGCAGTGCTTCGGTGCTGGCAGGTTTAGAAATGCTCCGCGCCTGTTCCCCAGGGATTAGGCACAGACTAGACCTGGTCCTCTGATTTCCCTGAAGCAGAAAGAAAAGTTCAACTGCCGAAAAGGGGAACCTGGAGGAAGATTATATATTTTGTCTTTCAGAGCTAAATTCACTGGAACTTATCCAAAGAACAAAACATTCCTGTTCAACTATAAACACAACACAAAGTGAAAACAACTACTTAGAGTTAGGACAGATCTTTAGGGTTACTATTTACTATAAAAGATGTTGGTATTTAACCTTACATTATCCTCAACCTTCTGATTTGGTTCTTCTGCACACAACCTTCTTAATATATTATTATTGAACTCACGCTGTTTAGGAGTGACATTATTCCAGAAGGAAATAGAGCTCTTCATGATAGTAATGGTCTCGGGATCTGTTCATTTAGTAAGATCCTAAGAGGATCTGCCTGATTTTCCTATCCTCTAACCCCTTGTTTATATACGCCCTGGCATCATGCTTTTTTGTAGACTATTTAGCTTCTATGTAGTCTAATTATCTTCTCCAGAATACAAATATATTTGAAATAGCTTGGCACATGGAATTGAATAAAAGCATGCATTCTTTATGCTTTTTAGGGACTGCCAAGAGAACATTGTGTAGGAAAAATGATTAATATAGATGCAAAAGGAATGCAAATTTTTATGAGGGTGGCTAACTGATAGACCTTCATTCTGTAATGGCTATTACCCTTCCAAGTATGAACCAGGCCCAACTCTGCCTAGCTTCCAAGATCAGACCAGAGGGCGCACATTCAGGGTGGTATTCCATAGGTTATAATGGCTGTTTCCAATTCAAAATGTGTGTTTTAGAGCAGGTAGAAACAACTGTTCACTTTAAAACATACATTCTTGCTTTTAGAGACCCTTGAGTTTTAGTTATGATGCCATATGAAGTTATTTATTTATTTATTTTTTGCAGTTTCTGGCCGGGGCTGGGTTTGAACCCGCCACCTCTGGCATATGGGGCTGGTGCCCAACTCCTTAGAGCCAGAGGCGCTGCCCCCCGTATGAAGTTTTAACATTTCTATCTGCCGTGTTAAATCATAAAGCTATTTGTGTATCACAGCATTCAGTCTCAACGGGATTGTTGACTCGTTCTGTATATTTTGTTCTTAATCACTGTCACCAAATCCCCGCCCCTGCAGACTGCTTGCTCTCTCTCTCAGCAAATGGCCTTGCCCCTGATTTAGGAAAGATCAGTAGGGCTGATCTCTCACTTTCCTGCCCCCACACTTTCTCCCACCCACTGCTAGCTTTGAATTGATCTCCATTTACGCCATTTTTTCCCTCTTCCTGTTTCAATAAAAACAATCTGTCCATTTTTAGTCAAGACAAGTCTCCTAAACTCACATTAGAGTTCTAGATTTCTCTACCTCTTCATTGATTATTCTCTTCTCATTCACCTCCTCTGTCTTATCCTATCAACTCGTAAGTATTTAAGGTTCTCACTTCTCCTAACACAAGTGAATCAAGTTCCTCCTTTAACCTTGTTTTGTTCTCTTCTCCAACCCCGGCTCCCTATTTACCTTCTAGTGAAGCTTCTCCCAGACGCTGTATCTCATAGTCTCCCGTTCCCTCCTCGCTCTTCAACTCCCACTACAATTTCGTTTCTGCTGCCCTTGGTCTTTGAGTTGTCGCATCACCTGCCAGCACCACCTCTTCTTTCTCATCATAGCCTTGCTCCTTTCTCCTCTCTGCTTCCTCCATCCTCAAATCCCTGCCTGAGATCCTTTCTTTACCGGTTTCTTAAATTTTGGTGCAAGACTCTAATCATCAACAAAAAGTATGTGTTTTAGAGTTTAATTCGGGACAGTCCTGAATTAAAATGCTAGCTTTGCCACCTACTAGCTCTATACACATAATTTTACCTTTTTAAGTCTCAGTTTTCTCCTTGGTGAAGTGGGGATGACATTCACTAGATAAACATCAAGATTAAGTGAGTTCATATAGTCCCATCGTCTGTGGAAATGATTCAATAACTGATACTTCATTTATAAAGAGGCCCAGTGAAATAAGTAGAATGGGGGGACTGGGTTCAGATGGATCCAGGATTCCATTTCTTGGTGAGTGTGATCGTTGGCAAAGTTTAACACGTCAACTCTCTACTTTTCCATTTCTCTCAGCTGGGATATAAATGTAAGGCTGATGGAAGAATTAAATGAAATAGCAAAATATGAAAGAGTAGATAGCACCTGGGATCTGAAGAGGCAGCAAAAAACTAACTCCTTTATTTTTTTTTTATTATCCCTGGGTGGCAGCAAAAAACTAACTCCTTTATTTATTTTTTTTATTATCCCTGGGTGCCCAACCTTAGCACTCATGTTATATAACTTTGAATATTATGGAGAATCTGTGAGGGGATTCAGTGAAATGGGAATCAGCCCATCGGAGTCTGAAGAGATCCGAATGGTCATCTGATGCATTTCATTCTGCCTTTATTAGGAATTCAGGCAGCAATTGCATCTAAAGTAAGTCTCGGATCAGAGGGGATATGTGTACGAGGAGTTTGCTGAGCCTCAATCTTAACAGGGACGTGAGAGGGAAGAGGTCAACATGGCTCCCCCTTAACATGTCGGAGGAGATTTGGAAAATGCCACTCAGGAATCATGAACGTCAGAAATTTGTGAGATTCTGATAGCTTTGTTAAGTGCACCGCAATTTGATTTTTAAAAAATGCCTCAGTGTTTCTTCTTAACCATCTCCAAAATTCTTCTCTAATTTTTCAGTTTTATTTTGAAAGGCTCCTCGTATATATTTTTAAGGGCAGAAGGGACAAACTGAAAAGTCCATTTTTGGAGGAGGTAAAGTCTAAAAGGAAAGAATTACTAAGACTGCTGTGTACCAAAGGAAAACAAAACAAACCCCTCCAACCAGGAAATAGACTGAAACTAGGTGAAATGGTGTCTTCCCCCCAAAATATATCTGGGAATCTGATCTCATTTGCAATTAGGGCCTTTTAAGATGTAATTAAGGATCTTGAGGTGAGATCACTGGCATCCTTGTAAGAGCGAGGAGAGAAAGAGGTGTGACACACAGAGAGAGTGAGAAGCCCACACAGAGGTAGAGCGCAGTTATGCATCCATGCCCAGGGAAGCCAAGGATCGTCAGAGGCACGGAGGCATGGGCCTCCCTCAGAGCTTCCAGAAGGACCAGAGCCCGCTGACACTCCAACTGGGATTTCCAGCCTCCAGACTCGTGAGAGAATAAATTCGTTTTAGGCCACCAGTTCCTGGTAATTTGCTGTGGCAGCCTTAGGAAAGCAGTATACCCGCCTTGGTCTTAACTATGGCCCTAAGAATTGAGAGATAGTCCCAAGTACTGTAAACTTAACCATTGCCTGCCTCAGATCCTCCCTGACTGCTGGTGTATGCGTCTACTAATTTGAATGTCCCATGAGTACCTGAAAGGCA